CATAAAAAATATACTTACATTGGAACATCCGATTACTTGGGGAAAGACTATTCTTTGGGATGCTAAGGAATTGAAGCAAACCAGACATTTGGTTTAAGCAATTTTCTTCTGAAATCCTTTTTTTCTTCTTTACATGTGGTAGTGTGGCAGCATTTTTATGTTAAGGAACTTTCAGTATATCAACATCTGGAAACTAGTCCCCCCCCCTCTCATAATCTTTTGCTTCCTAGAGAAATGGCTCCACCACTAGACAGCTGAAAATTTGAGCTTTTAACTCTGTCAGGAAATTGTATCTATAAAGACAGGTGCATGCTTACAGAGGTATGGACATAGAGAATAGTTAAAATTAGATATATGCAGCGATATTTCTTTCTTTCCTTTTTTTTTTTTAATTCATTTCTGTTTAATATAATATTTTTCAATCAGAACTCATCTGAGTTTTCCTTTTGCTTTTCTACTCCTTTTTACAAGTAAGGATCACTGAATTGGTCAACATGAATGCTTTCTTTTTTAGTCCTGGATCTAGTGCTTTCCTACAAATGAATTTTGTTAGCTGTGCCTTTTTGCCATTGTGAAGGCAGCAGTCAAACTCTTTGGAGTAATGCGCTTCTAGAGCAGGACATGTACAGCTAAGTTTTCTAGTTATATTATATGCTTGTGTTGGGATGCAGTGATTGACTACATTATGATTTATGATGTATGGAATTTGACTAAGGGAAATTTGGACTGAGTTGCAATACTTTCAAACCATTGCTCTAAGGCCACAAACTGATAATAGATAGATGTAGAATAATGTTGTACCTGTGTACTTTGATTTCAATTGTGCTTCTCTTCCTACCTCTATAAGTTCAAGTGGCTATTGTTATGTAGAAATTTGTTTATGAACTTCTATTGAAATTTACACGATGATGATTGATCTCAGTAATAAACTGTCCAAATTAAGGTATTGGGATAGCTCTACTGAGATTTTGTTTCTTTGGAAAAAAGAATTAGACTTACTTCTACATTTGGGAATTTGGCTTTTATCTGTGGAAACCTTCCATCATGAAAATTAGTTATGTAATCAACCACGGTTAAGGGGTCTTTCTCTTTTTCGAATTTGGTAACTTGATAGTTTTGGGTGCCAACTCTGCCCCACAATCCCAAAAAATAAAAAATAAAAACCTTGGTGTAGTAACAACAATTGGAGGGAGAAAACTAAGTGCTGAGCTGTCACGAACATCAGTTCAAGAGCAGGGAAATGCATGTAACAAACATCCATGACTTCTCACATTGTTGCACTGCTGATATAAGAGACTGAAGATTAGAAGAGAAACGAAAAGAAAAATTTCAGCTAATAAACATTAACAAACCTGGGCCAATGTTGTTTTGTATGTTCTATGCATATGCAAATTTGGCTAGTGGGATTGAGAGCCATGTTAGATAGGTCCCAGCATCCAAAATTGTGAAGTTGTTTAAGGACTTGCAAAGGAGTGTGGAGTTTTGTAAACAGTCCACCTTGGATCCTTTGAAGAAAGAAAAATCTTGGTCTTCTGGAGGACGACATTACTGAATTTACTCAGGATTCATGTATCTCTTGCTTTCTCTTGTTTTCTAATTCTTAAGTTCTTATTTCTTTTCCGCGTTTTCTTTTTGAAAGATTTTTTTTCCCAAAATAATGATGTTTCCATTATATTAAGAGTAATATCATCAAGGGTTAATGAGCATTTTAGATCTTAAAGTATTACGCGTAAAGCGTTCTGGATTTTGAATTCTTAAAATATGTAAAATGGACTCTAAACTTTTAAATTTATAACAAATTAAACCCCACCGATAATGCCATTCCTGTTCATCAAGTGATGCCCAATCAAAATGTTGATGTGGCAGTCATTTACTAATGTGTCATTTTTAATGAACGTCATATATCCTAAACTATTGCATGAGTAACATCTTGGATTTTGAATTTTGAAATTCATAGCAAATTATCCACACCATTTATATATGGAATGCTAACTATTATATAGTCTAAATTAGACTTAGCATTGTTCGCCATGATAAATGCATCATTGGCTGCGGCAAATGATCCATAATTTTGTGAAATAACATTTTTTGCCTCTTTTTTGTAATGTTTTCTAAATGATTGATATCTCATGCTTTCATATAATTTATAACTTTGATTTAATTTTATTTTGAATAATGTTTATTTATTTAATGGTGAAAACTTGGGACCTTATTTGAAAAGAAGTTTAAGATTTTAATTAACTGGTTAATTTGGGTTTGAAATTCGTTGATGACATTGTTAGCTTTTGCATTTATCATCTATAAAATTCTCTAATATTTAAACTTTTTTTTAAATAGGATTTTAAGTTTTCACAATTAAATAAATAAACATTATTCAAAATAAGTATAAATCAGAGATATAAAGTATATGAAAGCATGATATACCAATCGTTTGGAAAATATTGTAAAAAAAAAAGGGCAACAAAGTTATTTTACAATATTATGAGTTGTTCACCGCAGCCAACAATGCATTTACCATGGGAGATCACGTTCAGGCTAATTTGGTGTATATAATAATTAACAATTAACACATAAATGGTGGGGGTAATTTGTTTTGAATTTTAAAGTTCAACGTCCAGAATGATACTCACATAATAGTTTAGGGTCACAGATGTTCATTAAAAATGACACATCAATAAAAGATCTCGACATCAACATTTTGATTAGCCCCACTTAATGAGCAATAACTGCTTTAATGATGAGTTAACGGTAGGGTTTAATTTGCTATGAATTTAGAAGTTTACAGTCCATTTTGTATATTTTAAAAGTTAAGGGTTCAGAGCACTTTTCGCTCAATACTTCAAGGTCCAGAATGCTTATTAACCCTATCATTAAATACTACTTCAATGCATTCACAATGTTTCTTATAAGATTAATTTTTTTTTTTTTGGGAAAAATTATAGAGATATCATATAAGAAACTTATTTACAATTAAGTGCTATGAACTTGTGATTCTCTTATGTCCCATCGAACTTGGCTATAATTAACTTTCCTAGTAAAAAGACTTGAGTGTCCCTGAACTCACCCCTTTTCTATTGATGTTGACCAACCTCTACTAGGTGTTGACTGCAATATGTGGTCGATGGCCGTTGATTGCTCCCTAGTCAACATTGACTTGTCAATTTTTAAAAAACAATTTTACTTAAATATTTTTACCTAAATATTTATAGGTCAAGATTTAGAACTCAATTCTTTTACATTTACAAGTCAATACTTTGCTATATTAATAATTTAATAATTTAATATTTACAAGTCAAATATCTTAAATTTATAAGAATATTTATAAAAAATTAATACTTTAATATTTACATGTGACTTTGTTAAACTTTCAAGTCAACATACTAGATTTATTAGTGAATTTACATGATTTTTTGCAATTAGTTTTTCAAATTTAACAAATTGATTTACAAGTTAACTTTTTAAATTTATAGGGAACCCTCTTAAATTTATAAGCCAAACTTAGAAATTTATAACTTAATAAAGTAAAGAACACTTAGTCAACTTGTAGATTTAAAAGGATGATTTGGAAAATTTTGTAAATTAATTTGTAAAATTTGAAGAACAAGTGCAAAAGTCATGTGAATTCATTTGTCAATTTATGAGGTTTACTTATAAATATAAAGATTTTAATTTTTTTTAGAGATTTACTTATAAATTCAAGATGTTTGACTTGTAAATTTGTTAAGTTTGACTTGTAAATATTATATTATTAATATTGTATGAGGTAGAGATGTAAATATAAGAAGTTTGAGTTGTAAATTTTGAAGATTTACTTGTTAATCTGTAATTTTTGACTTGTAAGTATTAAAATATAAATATTTCAATAGATTTTTTTTTTTTTAAATGACCGATCAACATGGACAGTTGACCAGTGAATGGCTGCCGATTATTGTTCTAACACTAGCTTGTAGTCAGTCAATGTCAATCAAAGGCGTAAGTTTAAAGACATTTGGATCTTTTTACAAGAGATATTAATCACAATGAAGATCCCATGGGACTTATGAGTGTTTTTACAAATTAATGGAACTTATTTGTAAATAAGTTTCTTATATGTGACCTAATATGTAGTTTTCCCAAATTTTTTCTTTCTAAAGTTGAAGCTTCTTTTCAAATTATTTGTAAGAAAGTGTGAATTGGAGGTTGTTAAAGAGTGTTTTGATTGAAGAAAAATCATAGTGTACATTTGAAACATTTACGCCATGGTTTAGGACGCTTCCTAACTTTTATGTTGGAATTTATCCATACTTGATATTAATGACTTGAGCAGACATAATAAGATTTCATTGTATTTTGAATGTCATGGACATTCTTGAAATATAGTAAAAGATTAAACTAGGCTCCTATTTGTCCATTTATTATATCTTGCCATGAGCTTAAAGTTTGTTTGGAGCAAAGCATATATTTTGTTGCTAATAGCTATATAGATGTAGCAAGAGAAAATTATATGGCATACTTTATCAAGATTATTCCTATTTGGAAATAATAACAATTTAGTAGGCATGGACTATTATTTTTTAAGTTATTTAATTGGAAACGGCAACACTCAATGAATTGTTGCATACAATTTGTAATTATCGGCAACAGTTGAAAACTATAGGCATTGCTTGGCAATAGTGAAAAACGGTTGTAAAATTTGGCATATCAAAACTATTGCTTATTGTCTTATTATGTGTAATAACGATTTTGTTATATATGGTCAATATAATTATAGCTAATGAACCGTTGCTTATAGTCATAGGCATCGATCATCAACGTTATGCCACTACACTACTCCCTCAGCAATGCACTTTGGACAAGAAGCTAACAAGTGTTATGATTAACAATGAATTGACAAATACAATAATATACATGTTATAATACAGCAAGTTTATTTTTCTTTTACATCAACAATAAGACTATACTACCATTATTATTACAAGACATAATGACAAACATAATAAAGCATGGAATATTACCAAATATTAGTAGCTTGAAACTTTTGCATTTAAATATTTAAGTGAACTCAGAATGCTAATAATGCAGAAAGTTATGGCAACGAGGGCAAATATTGTCATCGTAGTTCTTGAAACATCTCTGAAGTATACCAGCCTTATAGTGGCCATGCTATGATTGTAAGCACTGTTGTAATATTTCCTTACTTCCTTTGTAAGATGACCATAACAAAAGGAACTGGCCACAATTTGTTTGGAAAGACTTCTGATCATCTGCAAAAATTCTTCATCAGAAGACAGCTCATTGTGAACAACTCCACTCTCAGTTAACAGTTCCACATCTTCTTTTGTTCGAATGAGACTGGCAATTAGAGTAATATAGCTTGAAATATAGGGATGTTGTGGATAGTGACACTGCTCAAAGGCCATGAGGTTGAGAAAAAATGATTTTGTTGAGTTATCCACTCGAAGCGTTGGGATTTGCAAATGTGGTTTGATTGATTTTGGTGTGTAGGGCAACCAACTCAAGGGACTCAAAGTTGGTCTTTTCTCAAATGTAACATCAAGTAAGCATCTTGAAAAATCTGGCTGAAATGTTATCCCTGCCAGTTTTAACTTTGTTGCAGCGTTCACAGAAAAAGAGTAGCTGAAAGCGTCAAAGATCAAATGCTGCGGAACTGAAAGCCATCTAACCAGGTCAGCGAAGTGCTCTGGCTTCTCCCACACTGTTTTCAACTTGTGTTTTTCTGCAATTTCGCCTTTACTCAGTTGATAATAAGGATCATAATCACAAAAGTATAAGCGGGCAAGGTCAAGGAAACTTGAATGGTCTTGATCTTTGTGTACCTTTGAAGAAACAAGCTTGTATAATTTCTCCAAGACCTTGAATGGGATCTGGTTTTCAATAAGTAATAAATCCCGTTCAAAACTTGTTCTTACCCCGTATCTTGTAAACAAATCATCGCTATTACTAAACTTGTGTGCTTCCCATTTTCTTAGAAAGAGCTCCATGATGAACACAGCATCCACTAGTATCATGCGTACGAACTCGTTCGTATCATCTTGAGATGTTTCTGAATAACAATCTCGTATCTGGTTTTCTTTCTTTTCAATGTACTTCTTGTAGTGCTTTAAAACCTCTACCATTGCTTCATCACGTCGACGAAAGTAAGTAAAATAGAGGATTTTCTGTTTTTCCATTGGCTTCAGTTTTGGATTTTTGTTGTGAAGTGGACCTATCGAGATCAATTGAGGAGTATAAGCATCCTTATTTTCATTCCTGAGAGCCTCAGGAACCTTGTAGATGCAAGAAGGAGAGGTAAATGAAGGCTTGCAATCAAGCTCAAAAGTTTTTGCTATGAGGTCTTCAATTGGAATCCTGGTCTCATCAAATGCTTTGACAGGCTTCATGGATTCCTTACGGCAGTGAATATCCTTGTTCTCCTAAATAAGCTGCACTAGTATCAAAGAAAAACATATTAAATGTGACACACTAGAAAAGAAAAATATGTGAAACCCAAATCCTTTGTAAGATGTGTAAATTGAGGTAGATCATAAAATTTTTTGTTATGAAGTAAGCAAGAGTTCGATTAACACACTATATTATATAACTGATGATTTTTAACACAAGTTAAAATGACTTTCTGCAATAGTTTTACATCTGGTTTACTAAAGTAGACTTTTTAGATCAGTAATTGAACCGGTGTATGCGGGAATTCTTTGTATATTGATTAAGGTCAGGCTGGTGCACAAAGGATTGATTTGATTCTATGAAAATATTCAGATTATACTTAATGATTCCATTCATATATACTAACAACAACATCATACTAGATAATAATGATACGTCACGTTATTATGAGCAGAAGTTAAGAATTTGTTTCTGAAGATTTGCATATTGGGTAGGAAAGTCTTTTAAAATTATAAACTCTATTTTTCTTTTTTTGAGAATGATAATTAGGTCTCAAAATATTGAATTAATATCAGTTAAGTTTCTAACAAATTCTTTTGAAAAATAAATTAAAAATATTGATCCAAATTATTATAAATTCATGAGTTTCAATTACAAATAAGTATTTAAATGTCAAATATAATTATTAGATTGCAACAGAAATTTTTATTTGTAAATATTTAAATTGATATTTATAATTCATTTTGTAAAAAATTTTATTGAGGGCCTAACTGTGATTAATTCATTCCTTTAGGACTTAATTGTTGTTCACCATTTTTTTTTAATGCAAAAGGCCAAAAGCTTCTCAATATAAGACTCATTAACAATGTCCTCATTCAAAAGTTGACCTCTATGATAGCTCTATTTTATAACACTTTACTCAGTTTAAACTTTTTGCAGATAGTCCTTTTTATGATGTTAGCCTCTCAATAAAAATACCAATTTTACAAGCAAGAGGTTAAATGGAGAGCTTATTTTAAAAAAACTCATACGTTGGGTGAGAAAGTTTTTTAAACTAATAAACAAGCTTATCTTATCTTCTTGGAAGCATATTCTAGGAAGAATGGAAGAATGTAACTTGGGACAAGATATCTGATTTACTCGACACGAAGCCAATCTTAACTCTCTTTATATTTGACACTTCACTTTTCTTATAAGGCTCCCTAATTTGGGACTCTTAACATGAATATGAAAAGATTGAAAAAGATTAAAGGTATTTGTATGCTTGTAGTAAATCCAACCAAATAGCTTTAGGTTTTTTTGTTTAACGGATTGCTTTAAATATTACATAAATCTCAACATGATATCAGAGCCTAAAAGCTAGCCATGAGTAAAAACATATGGGGGAAAAGAATGAAGGGGGCAAAAAACAGAAAACCAAAAATTGTATATATTGCTTTTGAAGAAGAAAGAAAAGCTACTCGGATAGCTCCAAAGTACAACTAAGGAGGATAGAAAATTAAAATCTTACTTACCAAATTTATATAACGTTAAGTGTGTAAGCCTTCCCTTCTAATTTGCTTTAAAACCTTGCAAATTAAAAACATCAGAGTTATTCCCAGATACCAGCTAGCTGTATACCTGTATTTAAGGGGAAAAAGGGGGGAGAAAGAGAGAGAGGGAGAGGGAGAGAGTAATAGGATAATAGCGAGACGTTCAAAGGCTACAAGAATTGAGACTCACAAACCTAAAAGACAAGATCAAAATTTGTTTGACGAAAAAAGAATAGGACGATGGTGAGCTTAAACACTTTAATTTGAACAGGTAGAAAAGATATAGCTGATCAGTTTGCTGAGAGACTTGCGTACCTTTCAGTTTCCAACGCTTCCAATCACTCCGACCATATCTCCTTCTCATCGCGCTGTTATATATTAGATTATTCAGTACACATTAGTTCTTTTTTTTTTTTTTTTCCAAAATTCAGTATATAGTTTTCAAAAAAATGCAAATGGAATAAAAATACTCTACCCCTTCTCCACGCAAAACAAGCCGAATAAACATAAAATATGTCCTAGAGTCAAGTCAATAATCAATAATTGATAATAAATTAAGTGATAACACATACTAATAATTTAATTCATAATTCCTTCCTTTCCTCCCCTTATTTTTTTAATTTTATTGTTATCCTTATTTTCCCTTATTTTGTATTCTTTTATTTTTAAAAAAAAATTTAGTTTATTTTCCTTTTCCCTTCCTCTCAAATAATTGAACTTCTTTTCATTAATCTACAAAGCTGCCAACTCAATATTTCATTATCTATGATAGCATATTTCAAAACATAATTTTTTCCATTCTTCCTCTTCTTTTTTTTTGTTTTATTTGTTTCTTGTGATTTTTTCTTACATATTAAAGTATTTTTTTCAAAAAAATATATAAGCTTATATTTTAAATTTTTGTACATTGTATTATTTATCTATATTTATTTTTAACATTTGATCTTTTAAATTTAATTTAAATACGTCTTAATGCTTTATCATTTTCTTGACATCTTTTTTAATTTTTAACTAAAACGCCTCATTCATGAATAATATCAATGATATATTCATCAACAATCAAGGTTATAAATTCATAGATACAAGAATTAAATACAAAGGGTAAAATGACAAAAATATTTTACAAATATTAGGTTGTTTATATTTTGATCCAAGATTAGTTGAAAGAAAATTGTCATATTTTGGACAGAGAGAGTACATGACTAACATATTATGTGTATATATATATATATATATACATATTTAATATCCTTGTTTTTGTTAAATCAAAACATGTAGATATTTTATAATATATTATTAATAACTAACAGTAAAATAAGACTTCTTGTTGTGGTGGTTGTAATTTGATACAATAGAAATATGGGGTTAAATGGTAATTTAAATTTTAAATTATAAGATTAAAGGCAATTTAAACCTGAAGTTTTATTTGACATATTTTGAAACAATTAAACTTGGAGCAGGTGCTTAATTTCAAGTAAAAGCTGTTAATTGTGAGCCCATAAATTTAATTTTCTCCCCCTCCCTTTCCCGGCTCTCTCCTCTCACTCCATCTCTCTTTCCTCTCTTGCTCGACCCCACTGAAGAAGACGACCCTGGAACAGCTTTCTCCTTACTTGCTCAACCTCTTGAAAGCTCCTCAAGAAGTTCGGTTCCGTCAGGACGCCAACGTCTTCTACAGGTTCTAGATCCCGAAGCAGCCAGCGCCAGATGCAGGCCTCCCCCGAGCAGCAAAACCAGCTCCAGACCCAGCTCAGCGGTGCAATTTCTTACTATCATCGACCTCCCCCACACCTCTTCTTCTGATCCACAACATCTTGCTCCTGTCACTACCGTATCTGTGCTTTAGCATGAACAAAACAGTTCTGTATTCGGCTTTGTGGGACCGAACCACATAAAGCTGGGGAGATTGTCTGATGCCATATGCTTGGGATCCATCAACGCGCACGACGACGCGGTGAACTGGGTGGAGTGCGGGCTGGACGGAATGGTGTTCTCAGGATCCGCGGACGGAACAGTAAAGCACGCTGCGGCGTAGAAGCTGTACATGTCGAAGCAATAATTTTTATATAAAACTAACGGTATTAAAATTAAAGGAGTGAAAAACACTTTATCAAATAAAATCTTTTTTAAAATTAAAGAAATATAATTTTCTGTAGTTTAAATTTTATTAAATTAGGAAATGTACGTGTTTAGGCTAAATATAAAACGTCACTCAAATAGGTCATGAAGTTAAGTTGGGCTGAGTAATTGAAACATCAGGCCCACCATAAACAAAAGAGGCCAACCCCGAAGCTCAATAAAGTCTACAACAAATAAACATGCCGAAATCCCGTCAGCTTCAAATATTAGACCGTTGGCATGAAGACACGATCCTAAGTAATGCTGAAATCTACACCCAAGTAGTTCGATGAAACGGGTTGTTTATCAAAATGGAGAGACCGTGCCATAAGTTTCACGGGATTCCTGATTCTTCGATAGAACATGCTAAGTCTCAAAGGAAAGGCTTCTGCTATCGAACACTATAAATAGAAAGAAGAAAAATAGGGAAAGCAGTCAACACTTGATCAAGACTCGCATATTTTACATTCATTAGCCTTTTTTTCAGTTCTTAATTTTAGTTTGTAATTTTTACACTTTAATCAAATTACACACTTGTTCTACCAAAACTTTCTATCTTTTTACATTCGAGCGAACTGTGGTAAGGGAACTTGGGACCCTTTTCATTATCTATTGAGACTCAGTGTCTTTGGCACGCCTAGTATTTGTTATTCAACCATGAACAATTTGTGGCACACCCAGTGGGATTTGTGTAACAAAGATGGGAAGGACACGAAAAGACAAAAGGACTAATGAAACAGGTGCTGGTTCTCACGAACCAGAAGGGATCTCTGCGCACGCAGGATTAGAACACTTATCACCCAATGCTGGAGCAACTGAACATTGTGAGCACATAGTGCCGGTGACAACAGGTCGTAGCAGCACAAGCCCTGGCTCAAAGTCAGGAAGTGGCCAACCCAACCCACTGATCATATCCAACAGACCTGTGGTAGAAGTACTATGGGGAATTCAAGACTAAATGGATAAGTAGCTGAAAGAGAACTAAAGGTTCTTTACAATATCCCTGGAAACTTCAGAATGCAGGGAGAAAGAATGACAGCAGATCATGATACAGGCTCTGCATGAAGGCATGAAGAATATAGCTGCATCATTAAGAGGCACCTATCTGGAAGCAGGCTCAACTGTAGGGCTGCTAGGGGGCAACAAGCTAGAGTCAATATAGGTGTTGGCCATCAAGGCCGCACACTTGTAAGAGACATCCCTAACTATCAAGTATTTGCACACACTCATCCTTTAATTAATCTGTCGTATTATCTATAGGATCCTAGCACGAGTGGCTCGGGGGGCACGACGGTGATCCCAGAACGTGCGGTCCAGCCTCAGAACCAACTGGTGAATGTGGAGGCTCT